GGTCGGGGCTGCCCGCGGACGGTTGGAGCCGTGGGGCGGTGGAGCAAAGCCCTGCGCAGCAAGGGTGCAGCCAGGAGGTTCTGCTGCAGCCAGGTGGGCTGGAGGCTTTGGGAGACGATTTTTTTTAAAAAAAAAAAAGACCACCGAAAAAAGGTATAAGCCATAGAGACTGCAAACACACCCGTTTCTGTTAACGTTCAGGATATCGTTATGCATTTTTTTTTCAACGCGACTGGGGTTTGTTGGTACTTTAGCTGTCGTCTCCCTGTGATCAGGCAGAGAGGTGCCTCACCATTGCTTGGTTGGTTGTAAATAAGAGACTGAGAATGTTTCCTGGTTAAAAAAAAAAAAAACAAACAAACTGAAAAGAGATATTTGGACAAAAATATGGGTCTGCATTGAGCTTTGCCCACCCTGTGTGTGCAGAGCCCCCACTTCTGCCTCCTCCCCTCCCTTGCCCTGGAGATGGAGGGTCAGCTCCTGGAGGACAAGCCCATCCCCTGCGGGTGCTTTGCTGGGCTGTGTTCACATCAAGACCGTGGGATTTTGGGGGAGAAAGCAGAGGGGTTTGGTGTAGGAGCCTTTTTGGGGTGAAGGGAGTGGGGAGGTACAAGCTAAGCTGCTGACCCTGTCGCTGTGGGACGGTGCTGTGCAGCTTGAGGGCAGCAGGAGCATTGCAGCTTGGCTTTCTGATGGGTTTGGGACGGCTGGTTGGGTTCTGCAGTGTCTAGTAAGGGCTGTGTTCACCTGGCAGCCTTTCTTGTGCACAGAGACAGTGCCTGCCCTCTGCTCTGTGTCTGCAAGAGACAGGATCAATGTGGTTTTGAGTCCTGTGCCCCTCTGCCGCAGTTGGGTGAACAGGGTTCACAAATTACGGGGGGAGGAGGGGAAGAGGAGAGGGCGAGCAGGACAGACGGACATGTCGGCGCGTGCAGGCTCGTGAGAACAGCTTGGCTGCATATTCCTCATTCCTTTCCCAAAGCAGGCTCCCCACCTGGAAACGCTGCTGGCTCCTGTGCCCTGAGTCACCCGTCGTGTGTGTTCGGGCCCTTCATCCGCCACAGCCGGTGGGGGAGTGTTGGTCCCAGGGCTTGAATGCAGTGGCAGCAAATGCCAGCCATCTGTGCTGGCCAGAGCAGGGCTCAGCTTTCTTAAAATGGCCTTTGACTTGAGAGATTTGGGGATTTTCACCATGCTGGGCTTGTACACGGGTGGGCTGCTGCTTCGCTGGTGGTTCTCCCAGGACTCAGACCCTGGCGCTTTGGGTTGATGCCTTCAGCACGGGGCTGCGGTCGGTCCGGCTGTGCCGGTGTGCTGTGCCAAGAGGCGACACGAGCGTTTCTGTCCATTTTCCATGATATTTGTGCGTGAGCCCTTCCTGCACAGACACGGACACAGGGACTTTGTTCGCTCACAGCTTAAAACCTCAGGGGACTTTCAGTGTTGCCAAAGAGGCAGGGCTGTGTCATTTTTGTTTTGAATTGAGTGGTGATAAGGCGACATGGCTGCCAGGGAGTCCCAAGGGCTTGAAGACCTGACAGCAAACAAAACGAGCCCTGCAGTGTTGGGATTTCTGCTTGTTTCTATGTCACACTTTTGTTTTGTTTTGTTTTGTTTTAAAGCCAATCTCCTGTTTCCTGAAGGGGCTGTGTTTAAGATGCACGTGTGTGTGTGTGTGTGTTCGGGGCTGGAGTGAGTTGTGCTGAATTTGGTCTCAGCTTTCACACTTGCTGGATCAAATTGGGGGGGGGATGATGGATCCCGCTGAAAACTCACTGGTGGTGATGATGCTGGTGGTGAAGAAAACATGCAAACTCTCTTCCCTACTTCATCCCAAATTACGGAGGATTTCTTCATGCCTTGGGGTGTCTTAATAGGTTTTTTCCCCGGGTGATTTCATGCTGATGGGGACCCTCCAGGTCTCCACCTTCGCCCCAGCCCATCATGGTGTGTGAAGGGCCCGTGCCTCCCGCAGGACGAGGAGTGCCCTGAAACCTTCCCTGCTGCTTCTGTTTGCTTTGCATAGTGCCGTGACACGCCGGGGGGGTCCTGCCTGTGCTGCCCACTGAGCGGGCAGCGTTTTGCCTGCAGGGGGAAGGACCCACCGGCCAGCGCAGGCGGTGTTGCGATGTTGGCAGAGATCGGTCGTGCCTACAGCCCCCTTCACTGCTGCCGGCCGTGGGATCCGCAGCATGGTGGGAACATTGCGGGGGGGGATTCATGTGGTTGATGGGGTTGATGGTGGGGATTGATGGGGGGATTGATGGGGAAGGTTGGTGCTGGATGAGGTCTTGCTGTCAAGACATCTGCTCTGGGCTTCGAGCAGGGTCAGAAGAGCAACGTGACTTCTGCTCCATGTACTGCTTTTTGGAGACAGGAGGATTTGTGAGTCTGTCTGTACCCCAGGGGTACTCCACACCTGCAGCTCTGCAGAGAAGGACAAGGGGCAACGGGCACAAGCTGGAGCACGGGAAGTTCCACCTGAACATGAGGAAAAACTACTTTACCTTGAAGCTGGCAGAGCACTGGAACAGGCTGGCGCGCGGCGGGCTCCTTCCCTGGAAATATTCAGAACCCACCTGGATGCAGTCTTGTGCACCCTGCTGAAGGTGACCCTGCTTTAGCAGGGGGGTTGGACCAGATGATCTCCAGAGGTCCCTTCCAACCCCCACCATGCTGTGATTCTGTGAAGCAGCAGATCATTATCCCCTTTCTTGTCCCCTTCGGGGAGAGCCAGGCATCCCTTCTGCCATGGGACTGGAGGCTGAGAATGGGACAACCTCGACTCCTTTCTTTTTTTTTGGGTTTTCCTTTTCCTCCCTTGCTTGCTGCTGTGTGTTTCCTGAGGCTGTGTGCTGCCTGAATGCCTTGGGGTCACGAGTGATGCTGCCAAGGCTGGGGCTGAGCTGTGGCTGTTGCAGGCAGAGATGAGGTGACTGTGCTGCATTCTGCACCCTGCAAGTTTGAAGTGGGGGCCCAGGGAAAATGGACCTGAACCCTGAGCCATTCAATTGGTCCCACTGGCTGAAAATCCTGCGTCACAAGGGTCCTTTTCTCCTGCTGGTCTCCCAGGCAGGGCATGCCAGGCGCAGACTCCTCCGGCCAGCCTGCCACGCATTCCCCAGCCCAGTGGAATAGCTGGGATTCTTGCATTTCCTCCCCCAAAATGACACTGGCCGATCCAGCCCTGATCTGCAGAGCATCAGCAGCTGGCTCCAGGGAGAGGACAGGGTCCCTTGACACAGCACGAAGCCCCCTGAGCCCACAAGAGGCTCTGTTTCAGTCTCCAGTTGTGAGCATGTCCCTGCTAGATTTGCTTTTCATAGAAGGTGCTGGGGCCACTCTGCAAGCCCTGGGTGAGGGAGGGAGTCTCCGACATTCCCAGCAGTGCCCACTCATCCATGTATTTATTTTCTTAAAGCACCAGCTCCTGGAGTCACGCCATCCCTGGAGGAGCTCGGCTTTTGCTGAAGACCTCGCACATTGCAGGGCTTCCCAGCTCCCACTAAGGGATGGGACGAGCCCTGAAGTGAAGGGGGATCCAGGGGAGTGGAGTCTTTGCAGGGACCTGCTCTGGCCTCCAACCTTTGGAGGTGACATGACCCGTCTGTTCCTTGCAGCGGGATCAAGGGATGAACCTGGGTTCAAGTGTAGGGGTTTACACCCAAACATGAGCAAGCACTGGCATTTTTACCAGGAGGTGAAATAAAATTATGAGAGTGAGTGAAGATGCTTGTAATCAGCATGGGGGTGTTTCACTGGGAGTGCTGTGCTGGGCTTGTGGGTGGGAGGAGCTGGTGGAGGCCAAGCTGGGGGGCAGAGCATGGTGGTCCAGGACTCCTTGGGGCTGCTTCGCTCTCAGGCCACCCCCTTGCTCCATGTCTTGGTGGAAAGCACAGAGCAAGCGATGGCAGTGGCGTGTCTGTTGCTACCCTCTACCTCTTGCAGCTCTTCAGCCTGTCCCTGCTCCTCCTCCGGCTCTTTCCACTGGGACATTTCCAGGTTGCACAGAAACCCTGTGGGACACCTGAGACGAAGAGTTTGGGAGTCCAACCACTGTCAGGACCAGCTCTCTCTGAGGCATCACTGCCCAGATCCCTATGGCTTTGGGAAGTCCTCACCTCAGGGTCTGTCTTTCCAGCTGCTAGTGCTGCTGTGCCCCAGGGTGCTTGTGAGGAGGGCAGGAGGGCTATGGAGGGACTGGTTGGAGCATCACCCCCGTAATGTCCTCAGAGGTCCTCACACTGGACCTGCATGGAGCTCAGCCTCTCTCTATCCCTCTGGGCACCCCCCCAGGGAGGAGGAAGCTGTGCTTGGGGTCACCCATGCTGGGCCCCTTTGTTTGGGTGAGCTCCTCACCATGGCACGTTTGGGCTTGCAACGGCACGTGGTGGCATCTCAGCAAAGTGTCTGAGCCTGTAAAATGGAGGCAAAAAAGTGACCCCCTCAGGGGTGCCGATTCAGGGGTCTGAGCTCTGAAGACGCATCTTGTAGGGCCCCTGGGTCACCTCACCCATGGTGGCGGGGAAAGAGCAAATACCCCTGTTTTGGGGTTATGAGCAACCTGGGATGCTGAAGAGCTGCTCTCTAACCCCCTCCTGCCCTGGAGCCGGGGACCTCGGGGGAATATCCACCCCTGGGTCGCTGAGGAAGAAGGAGCAGGGCTGCCAGTGGAGGAGCAGGCACTCAAGGGTTAACGGAGAGTGTTTGCAGCCGGTCCCTTGTCACCAAGGAGAAGGGAACAGCACTTGGGAAGGAAACAAAACACCCACTGCCCAGGAGGGTGATTTCCTTTCCCCACGCTGCATTACAGCCCTGGGACCCCAGAAGGGCTCCCGGCACCGGGAGGACGGCAGCACCATCCCGGGTGGCAGAGAGCAAGTGGCACCGGGTGAGTGTGGCTGCTGGAGAGGTGGGCTGGGGACATGGCCGGGGCAGCTCCTCATGTCCCCATCACCCATGGCCCCATCACCTCTTTCCACTCCCAGTCTTATGGCAAAATGTGGGGGACACCGGTCACCGCAGTGCGGAGCATCCGTCCCTACCAGTCCAGCGAGCAGTACCTCTACGCCATGAAGGAGGACTTGGCCGAGTGGCTGAAGGAGCTGTACGACCTGGACATCGAGGTGGGCACCTTCGTGGAGGTGCTGGAGACAGGGGCCGTGCTCTGCTCCCATGCCAACAACGTCACTGAAGTGGCTGGGGAATTTGCCCGCTCCTGCCCCGCTGTCGCCCGCCATCTCCGCCTGCCTGCCACTGGCGTCGCCTGCAACCTCGCGGCACAGCCGGGCACCTTCCAGGCCAGGGACAACGTCTCCAACTTCATCCAGTGGTGCAGGAAGGAGATGGATATCAAAGGTAGGATGCTGGGCTCCAGCCGCCCCATGTCCCTGTGTGCAATCCTCCTCCAGCCGCTCCTGGCATCACCCCAGGTGCTTTCCCATGTGTCCCCCAAAGCTGGTGCCATTCCTGAGCTGGGGTTTCTTGCACAAGCTCCTCTGGGCTCGGCAGCAGCTTTTCAGGGTGCTGGCACGTGACAGGCGTGTTTGCTTGGGTGCCAATATGCACTGGGGGGATGGAAATGGAAAGGGCATATGCTGCAGCCTGGCCCTGCCACGCACAGGGTGATCTCGGCCATAAGGCCATCAGGAGCAGTCCTGGCTCTGAGCAAAGGGTCTGCCACCCTGTCCCCACCACCAGTGAGTGCCTGGGAAGGGTATGGGCGTGGAGTGGCATGTCCTCAGCACACCCAGACACTGGTTTTTGGTTTTTTGTGGCTTTGAGATGCCATGAAACAGCTGTAGTGCCTTTGCAAGTAGGTGCCCAAGGGGAAGACTCTTCCTCCATTAATTTCTCCCAACTCTTGTTGGACACCCCTGTATTCCTAGGGGGATGGCTCCAGGAATAACACCCCTTCTGGTGGGTTTTTGATTCCACCTGTGCCCCCCCATCCCTATGTGCCTTCCCTGGCTCAGCCCAGCCCTGCCCTGCCCCAGATGTCCTGATGTTCGAGACGGAGGATCTGGTGCTGAGGAAGAACGAGAAGAACTTTGTGCTGTGCCTGCTGGAGCTGGCACGCTGTGCTGCTCGCTTCGGCATGCCTGCCCCGACCCTCGTGCAGATGGAGGAGGAGATCGAGGAGGAGATCCGCCAGGAGCTGGACCTGCCACCCACAGACACCCCCCTGCCCCGGCCCCCCCGGAAACCACGGGACCTCCAGAACCTCGACCAGATGGTATGGAGTGGCACAGAGTGGGATGGGGATGGGGATGGGGATAGGGATGGGGATAGCCACCCCAGGATCTTTCCCAGGAGCCCTGGCAAGGACCCATCCCTGCTGCCCACAGGTCCAGCACCTGGTGAGCCGCTGTACCTGCCCCGTCCAGTTCCCCATGATCAAGATATCCGAAGGGAAATATCGTGTGGGCGACTCTGACACCCTCATCTTTGTCCGCGTGAGTCTCTGCTGTTGGGGCACAGGCACCAGGAATCCTGCTCTGCTGCCACGAAGCCTTTTCCATAATTCACTGCCCAAATGGGGCCAATGTGGGGTTTTGGGCCATTATTCCTGAAGCAGGGCAGCGGGGAAGCTTGGCCCTGAGGTACATGTTTGCATGGATGTAAGCATCCATGTATACGGAACAAAACCTGACATCCCACGCCAAGCCAGAGCCGGGTCTTACACAGCAATGGGAGCACTGGGATGCTCTGTCCCTGCCTGGATCCGTCCCTAAGCCTGGCCTTCCCAAAGGGCTCAGTACATGACCATGAAGAGGGGTTTTCCGAACGGCTCCCCGCTCTCCTTGGGGTGATGACGTGCCTGCCAGGGTGGCAGCAGGAGCTGAGACCCTCCCTGCCTCGGTGGCACTCAGATGGGATGAAGCTGTCCTTTGGGAGTCCTGGTGGCACTTAGGGCAAGCCCACAGCTCCCTAAGCCCAGCTAAGCGTGCAGCCCCCAGGCTGCTTAAAAGAAGGAGGGGGTCCCACGGGTGCAGTGCACGCACTTCTCTGGGCCTCACGGCACACGGCATCCCGTGCAGATCCTGCGGGAACACGTCATGGTGCGGGTCGGAGGCGGCTGGGACACGCTGGAGCACTACCTGGACAAGCATGACCCGTGTCGCTGCACCTCGCTCTGTGAGTCCCTGCGTCACCAAACCCCCAGGCTGGGGTGAGTGGGGGTTCATGGTGGGTCTCGCCGCTTCTGGGGCCCTTTGCAGGAGCGGGAGGCTTCGCTACTGCCATGCCTCGTTGCTTTGCTGGGGAATGTCTGGTTTTTGGGGACTCTCTTTGGCTTTGGTGGCCACTAGAGGTCACAGCAGACTTTTGGATGGAGCTCGACCCCAAAACCCCCTTGCAGGGAGCACAGGTTTGCACCAGCATCCCCAGGAGCTGGATGAAGAGCTGACTGCTGGGTGGGCTGCACCCGAGGGTGGGTGCAATGGACAGGGGTGCTGATCCTCCCCATTTTGCCCACAGCTCACAAACAAGCCTGGAAAACCAGGACCCCCCAGCAGCAAGTGCAGCAC